CTTTGTCTTTTCACGTTTGGGCTACTGCAACTCACGTTTCACTTGCCTGAGTCAGTCCTCAATGGCCAGACTCCAGCAAGTGCAGAATGCTGCTGCTTATGGAAAGCCGATTGAAGATTTAATAGATATCCTTGATATCAAAGCTCAGTTTCCTGTACTAGTCAAGTCTTTGGCCGCACTAGTTTACTAGTAGAACGTTTATGGAAAGCCGATTGAAGATTTAATAGATATCCTTGATATCAAAGCTCAGTTTCCTGTACTAGTCAAGTCTTTGGCCGCACTAGTTTACTAGTAGAACGTTGAAAGACTTACTAGTAAACTAGTAGAAGGCAAAAAGTCCTACATGTTAACTAGTAAGGTGCAAAATATCTACTAGTTAACTAGTAAGATATATTTTGTGTCTACTAGTTAACTAGTGAGCCTAAAAATGTTTACTAGTTAACTAGTAAGAGCAACAATGTCCACTAGTAAGCTAGAAAGGCATATATATGGACCATACTAGCTAACTAGTTAGGATAAAAAGTTTTTACAAGTTAACTAGTAAGAGCAGAAAGGTCCACTAGTTGTACTAGAGATGGCTTTATTAGTCTTACTAGTTAACTAGTGCGGCTCTAAATGTTCACTAGTTAACTAGTAAGAGAACAAATGTCCACTAGTTGCACTAGTATCATCTTTACAAGTCGTACTAGTTAACTAGTGAGACTTAAATATTTTACTAGTAAACTAGCTAGATCTAAAATGTCACTAGTAACATTTGTTGCACAAAATGGTAACGAGGAGGTGGGGGATAAGTGTGGATTGAGGCTTATGATAGGCTCTAAAAATCAAGAACAAAAATAACATCAAATCAGGACCCAGGATTTGGTTATAATCCCACCCACTGCATTTACATATTGCACACTAGTCAACTAGTTGGATTGCAGGATTAGAACTATCTTACTAGTCGATATCTGTTTTCATTTTACTAGTTAACTAGTTAGACACAAATGCTAACTAGTTAACTAGTTAATCTCATAATGGTAACTAGTAACACTAGTGAAGATGCATTTTACCTTTCTAGGTCACTAGTAAGATAAAATGTGTCAACTAGTAACACTAGTTGGAATATTTTTAAACCTACTAGTTAACTAGTGAGGCTCGGAAACGTTTACTAGTTAACATGTAGTAGCTAAAATGTCAACTAGTCACACTACTGAGGGCGGTTTTAACCCTATATAGTTTACGAGTAAACTAGTAAGTGCCTTTTTGTCCACTAGTTAAACTAGCTAGTGTCTTTTTGGCCTCACTAGTAAACTAGTTGAAGACTTTGTGTGGCACTAGTAAACTAGTTGCAGACAAAACAGCATACTAGTGGACATTTGCTTTTGACTAGTAAACTAGTTGAATGATATAATTTGACAAGTTTACATGCTGAACAGTTAAAACCCTTTACTAGTTAACTAGTTGAACACAGATGTCAACTAGTAGTCTGATCTGTTGACTACTAGTTAACTTGTGACTGACAATTTATCTAACTAGTTAACTAGTACTGCCAAAAAGACCCTTACTAGTACAACTAGTGGACATTTTGCAATTACTTATTAACTAGTTAACTGTGTTTGGCCTCACTAGTTAACTAGCAAGGTCACACATGGTCTAACTGGTAAACTAGTGGACATTTTGACTCGTTCTAGTTAACTAGTATGCATTTAAAGCCTCACTAGTTTACTAGTAAGGCCTTGAAGACCAAAGTAGTGATACTAGTGTGCATTTTTCTTTCACTAGTACTACTAGTAAACATCTTGAGCCCTACTTGTTAACTAGTAAGGTCAATTAGACTGCAACTAGTGGTACTAGTGACATTTATGCCCTTAGTAATAAACTAGTTAAGCTTTTTGAACATCATTAGTTTACTAGTAAAGTCGAAATGTGTTTTACAAGTGTAACTAGTGGACATTTGGTCCTTACTAGTTTACTTGTAAAGGTCAACTGGCAGTCCACTAGTAGTACTAGTAGCACTAGTTGACCGCATGATAATGAAGCAGGCGGGACAAGGATTTTGATTGGTCAATGTCAAACCTGCGATTTTGCCAGCCTTAAAGGGCCAGATCTGAATAGTACCTTCGGTTAAACCAGCACTAATTTCTGAAGGTTTGTTCATTTGTGTCATGTTATATTATCACTAAATGGTAACTCACTGAATGCCCTTTGATAGAATTTTATGACCCATGCACAGATTAAATCCAAATCTGATGTTACATTGTTATTCATCTTTTCAACTTTTTTGTTTTTTAAACTTAGTATTATTTGTTCTAAAAATCACTAATGATTATTCATTATTGCAGTATTTGTCAAAAAATAAACAATAACCCATCACTTAATATTTATATATAGTAGTATGATTGAATAAAATAAAATCTTGCACAACATTAATGTTCAAGGATTTTAGCTTTTTTCTTGCCATTGAAAATATGGCAATATAAAATATGAAAGATATACTAGTTTGAAACTTGCAAAGTGAAAAATTAAATATATTTTTTTTAAATCATGAAAGAAATGTGTTTATATTTAGTTTATCTGCTAGATGATCATGCAAAATATTGAATAAAATATTAGGATTTAGGACAAGTGTATACTGAATTATTAAACTAATGTGAATAAGAAAATATAACAGGAAAAAAGTAACAAGCCTGAAACTTGAAATAAATGTTTTAATGTTTTTTTTATAAATATAAAGTCAGCCTCTTACATCTGGAGAAATAACCCTTATACAATAAGTAGCTGCAGAGAGATATGCATTTCGGCCATTAGGTGTCAGTTGCAGGATCGGTATGTTATGGACTTGCTAAATTTTCTTGGTTTAGCTTCGAGTAAGCCAGCAGAAAAGATACATATGGCAGTGAGCAGATATAAGTGCACAAGCAACATACATATTTTATGACATATTTTATCATATGAGGAGTCATGTTTTTATGATTAAAGCATAAAATTAAGATACTACTTGCAAATGCCCACCAGATGGTGCTATACTTATATATGCTGCTAATGTGTACAGTACTAGTACTACTAGTGGACATTTAGGCTCTTACTAGTAGCACTAGTTGTACTAGTAGCACTAGTACTACTAGTGGACATTTAGGCTCTTACTAGTACGACTAGTGACTAGTGCGACTAGTGCGACTAGTGCGACTAGTGCGACTAGTGCGACTAGTGCGACTAGTGCTACTAGTGCAACTAGTAGCACTAGTAAAGGCCTAAATGTCAACTAGTAGTACTAGTACTGTAGACATTAGCAGTATATATACGTATAGCCCCATCTGTGGGGCATTTGCAAGTAGTACAATTTTTAACCTTCATTTTACATAATAAAATTACATTTTTATACGATGGAGTAGAGCCATCTTAAAGAAAAAAAAAGAAAAAATTTGAGATTAATCTTGTATATGTACGAGAATAAACATGTAAATTTAGGAGAATAAAGTCATAAATTTACGAAAATGTACATTTTTAGGTTGTAGCCTATCATAGAGAAGCCTTCCGCCTGCGCATAAATGATGAAAGGAGAACCCCTAAAGCATTTTCCTCTGCCACAAAAGTTACAGTTGCTTCCAGTATCTTTTCAGGGTCCTGATATTTTATTTGTGATGATGATGTGCCGATAAAACAACTTATCGGATATATTTGTCCAACTGTTTTTACAGACTACACAAGGAAGGAGCCTATTTCCTTATTTGTTAAACCTTTACTATAACAAGATGCATCCACGTTTATCATTTTCGAACAGGCGGCTGCTGCTCTTCTGATATAGACTTAAACAAGAAATTAATCTCGTACATTTTACTTTATTCTCATAAATTAACTATTTGAATCTCTAAATTTTAGGTTTTTTTCCTTTTACGTGGCCCTAATCTTGAATCCCTTTATTTTTCTTAGTTTACCGACTTTAGGCCAAATTAAAACGTATTAAGTACAAGAACATAAATTCTGTATCAAGTTCCAGTTGTTTTAAAGTCCATAATTTTATCTGATTAACTTTTTTCCTTTTTAAAAACAGCATGAATTTATATGAAATATTTACACATTCATTTTTAACTTACAATTGCACCTTGGGCAGTTTTTTATCACTCTACTGACCTCAAGATGTACTCTTTCTTATGTTTTCTGTAAATACTGTCTTGATGGGATAAAAAAGGAAAAAGAAAATCATGAGAACAGTTCTAAAATGATCTTCTATCTTATTTTAAGTTTATAAAACAATTCTAACATTTAATATATATATAATTTTCATGTTTTACTCTCCATGGAAAGTAGGAAGAAGCCGTTGCTTCACAGCACTTGCTCCTTCTTACAAAGGGTTAAATTTGTGGAAGGTGGAGGTCTATATGGAGAACCAATGATAAGGTTCAGAGAGTGCCCTGATCCCACCCACTCATTAGCATGTACTTCAACCAGTGTTTCTAGTACGCATTTTGGCTTTCACTAGTAGTACTAGTTAACATTTAAAACCGTAGTAGTTAACTAGTTATGCCAAAAAGAGTACTACTAGTGTAACTAGTGACATTTTGGCTCTTACTAGATAACTAGTTAACCATTTTGAGCCTCACTAGTTCACTAGTAGCACTAAAATGTCCTGAACTAGTGTTACTAGTTGGCTTTTTGCACTAACTAGTTAACTAGTGGACTTTAAGAGCCTCACTAGTAAACTAGTAAAATTTGTAACTGCATCACTAGTGATACTAGTGGACATTTGGGTCTTACTAGTTAACTAGTAAACATTTTGAACCTCACTAGTTTACAAGTAAGGTTAAAAAGAGTCAAACTAGCTTACTAGTGGACATTGTTGCTCTTACTAGTTAACTAGTAAACATTTTTAGGCTCACTAGTTAACTAGTAGACACAAAATATATCTTACTAGTTAACTAGTAGATATTTTGCACCTTACTAGTTAACATGTAGGACTTTTTGCCTTCTACTAGTTTACTAGTAAGTCTTTCAACGTTCTACTAGTAAACTAGTGCGGCCAAAGACTTGACTAGTACAGGAAACTGAGCTTTGATATCAAGGATTTCTATTAAATCTTCAATCGGCTTTCCATAGCTGCTCGGATTTTAACAAATGCAAACTGCAGGTCCAACATTACCCCAATCCTTTCCTCCCTCCATTTGCTGCCCGTTACTTACAGGGTCGATTTAAAAATTATTTTAAAAACTTTTAAAACACAACACAGTCTAGCCTCCCCCCCTTACATTAAAGAACTTTTAACCCCTTATGCTCCGAGCCAAATCTTAGATCATCAAGAGTAAATGATCCTAGATCAAGGCTGGTTACCAAGGGCGACCGGGCATTTGCCATCAGAGCACCTAAACTCACTTTGTAACCTTGTTTAGATAAGTGCTATATAAATAAAGTTATTATTATTATTAAATGCACTATTGGGGGCACATGTGGGACAATATAATGTTAACCATATTCCTAATGATGGGAGGAGGTGGGTGAATGTAGTGAGGCAGGTGGTGGGCCAGAACCATCTCCCAGGCATCCACCAGCTGAACATTAAGTCCTTTGAACACAGCTCTGACCACCTTGTCCTGTTGAATAGCATACCAGTCATTAAAGGCAAATATATTGGGGTTTGTACCTCTGAGGTTTGGAGTCCTGATGACCACCAGCGTGTCTGGAGCCCTGTTTAACAGACGAATCACCGCCCTGCGGATGCCGTAAAGCCTTCTGATGTAGAATTGCATTGGGAAAGGAGTGAGGTGGGCCCAGATGCCAAAAATTACAACTGTGTTGGTGCCACCAACTACATCATCTATTTCATTGGCAATGTAACGCAGCTCACTGGTTGGGATAAGGACGGAAATACTCAGAGGAGGACCGTGTAAGTGGAACTTCACCAAGATGTTTTTTGCATTGTCCCATATCATGAAAGGTCCTGATTTCTTCGGATTATTCCGGTTTATCTCTTTAGCATCTGAAAGTATGAAAAAAGGAGCAGATTAAGCTGTGAAATAAATACAATTAAACTGTTGCCTGAAATCACTGAATCAACTACCTGGAAGTGAAGCATCAAAGTACTCAAACCACTGCCTGACGGTGGAGTCTCCATACATGTGGACCACCTTTCCTTTCAGACACTGACTGATGGCAGAGGAGTTGTTGAATTGGTGGACTTTGGTGCCACCTAGTGGTCGCCACACACCCTGGTAGTAATACCCAGAGAGTCCAGACTTCCCACTGCCTAGACTATCCATGGGTTGCTCTGAGAATTGTTGATCAAAATAAGCATTTGGTTATTAAACGATTGTTGTATCATTTGTCAACAGATCCCCTAAAAAGACCAAAACAAGGTCTCTGCTTTACCTTACTCATTTTACTTTACACTGATGAGGACATTATACATATGTCACAAAAACATTTGTAGTGGTAACTTTCATAAACAGTTTTTATCACTTAGTAGGAGCCAATCTGTTACTTGATTCTGAAATATTTACTGTAAATGATATTCTTATTTCTTATGATCTAAATGTTGTGTTTTACTAACATGAACTGAAATCAAAATTCTTAAATTAAATGACCATGATT